TTGTACCAGCCTTTTATTAAAATTGTATCTTTACTTTTAAATATTAAGGGCAGAGAGGCTGAATTTTCATGATTAGAATAGGGCTCCAAAAATTTTAAGTCAGATCTGATTAGAAAACAAATAAGCTAAATTTTTGTTACCAATATGGCAGATCAAATTTCGTGTTCAAAATGTGAGTTATCCACAAATTCCGGTCGAGCAACCATAAGAATCAAAGCCATTTGCACCTATGTTGGTTACTGTAAGTATTTTGTTGATCATCAAACCATTGTTTGCCTTTAATTTATTTTTTATTTTTAAGAAGTGGACTTTAAACTTAACTCAACTCTATAAAACTAGCTTGTAATGTGAGGTTTACACTCATTTATATATTTTAATTCAGTCAAACCCAACAAACAATGAATTTCGCTAAGATAAGCAATAAATAATGTCTCTAATACCATGCTAAGAAGTGAATTTTTAAGTCTAACTTAATTCTATAAAACCAACTTATAAGGTGAAATTTACATTTACTTATATACTTTAATTTGGTTTTATCTCAGAATTACCTTGGTTCATGAATACTTAAAACCATATAAGAGTGATGCAAGGTATAGTCGAATTGTACTACCTTTATCATGAATTTTTTTGAATGCTTAAAACTAGAAAGAAAGATGAGAAGGGTGGTCCAAATGTGCTACATATTGAAAGGAGCAAATTATATATGAATGCTTAAACTGGAAAGAAAAGCATGGTCCAACTGTACTACATATTAAAAGAGGCAAATATGAACATTATAGTAGAGCTATATTACTGAGATGGGAAATTTAAGCATCTTTAAATTGTCTTGTTATTTTTTTATTTATTTTTAAGATATTTTTATTATAGTTTTTCATATTGGAGGTTTATTACAAGTACAAATCATTCTTTTATTCTTTCATTTTGATGTATTTAGGATGTTTTTATTATATCAGTGTTATAATGTATTGTTATGCATAATTGATGATGACTTATTAATTTCTTCATTGCGAACATCTTGTTTTGAGGGGGGCATATTTTTTGTAGAGGATCATACCCTCGTCTTAAAAGAATTCTTTTCAGGGCTTCCTTTATTATTTATCCCCGTGCTTCCACCTTAGTTTTGTCTGTGTCATATGCATCACAACATCTTAATTATGGAATAAAATTCTTGAAGAAGAAAAAAGTTGATTCTCTTCTATTCACGACTAAAAAGTTATAGTTGAACTTCTGGGCATTGTTATGGGAAGAGATTGGCGGAAACCCTATTTAATCAGCAGTATTAAAACAAATAGTCATGCCTAACTAGTATTGCACATTAATGGAATAGTGACCTATCATGGTTTCTATTTTGTAGGGTTCGTTAGATCATGATGGTTTAGGCCCTGTTTCTTGGTGGTGTGCAGAAGAGATTGAGGTTGATGATGAGTAAAGGTGAGTTCAAAAGGTGGTGAAATTTTGGTCAAGTGAAGATGTCACTCCTAGGTTTTTTGTTTAGCCTATAAGATTAGGTTTAGAAGTTGGTTTGGTCTGATAGATGTAGGTTGCTCATGTCGCTGAAGATTAGGTCTTGTTCAATTACTTTGCTTTGTAAACTGTTTAATTTAGTTTAATAGAATCAGTGTTTGTCTTTGAATTCAGTGTCCTAAATTCCTATAGTGCAGAAGGATAAAATGCAATTTATACATCTGTTTTTGGGATCCATAATTTTACTAGTCATTGACCCAATTAAATTCATACGTATATAAAGTTTCCTAGAATTAATGACGTGCATTATATATTTCGCGATTAATTTAAGACTTAGGACTGGGTATTTAATTAGGGGTTTAAAGCAAATTTTATTTTATTTTATAAAATTCATGTTAAGCCTCACTATAAACTATCACATCTTAGCTCGATTAACATTCTAGAGTTCATTTGTTATCTGCCATCATCTCATGAAAAATATCAAAAGGAAAATAACATACAAAAACATGGCGTACCAAACCAAACCCATGCAAAACTTGAGAAACCTTAGCAGAGAGTTTAGGTCTCTCTTCATATGGAACACCAACAAGCAAAGAAATACACCTCCGGAACACCATGGGTCATTCCAAAAATTTATTTGGTTTACATCACCTACAGTCCAAGAAGTGTTTTCCAAAACAGTGTCATACCAATTATTAATACCGGGCCATATTCAACAGGATTTATATGAAGCAAGTTTTGGGTATTTGGACTTAAAATCCATGATCTTATTAGAAAAATCCAAGGCATAGAGCTATAAGCAAAATACCAAGCCAACTGAAGAAGATAAGCTTTATTCTCCACATGAAAATTAGCAACTTGCAGCCCTCCTTCATATTTGCTGGCATAGAATTGATTCCAATTAACAACGACAAGAGCTTGCTTGCTAACATCACCAGTCCATATAAAATTTTTAACCATTTATCCACCTCGTTTAGCAAGTTTGCTGGTCATTTATAAACTTTAAAACTATAGGAAAGAAAATCAGTAATGACAGAGTTTACCAGCTGAATTTTGCCCATCATATTCAAAGTTTTCCCTTTCCAAGAGGCAAGCCTGAGCCTAACTTTATTAGCAAGAGGTTAAAGGAAGCGAGATTTATGAGCCCCCACAAAAATAGGCACCCATAAATAGTTAAATGGTATAAAACCTCTATTGCAGCCAAGAACACACTTAACTCTCCTATTAAAGGCAGAAGAATAATCAGCAGTAAAGATTCTTAGTGGAATTCATCCATTGGCCTGAGGCTGAACCATAGGAATGGAGTAGTTTCATGAGGTTAGTTAGGGTACTCTTATTAACTCTGCAGAAAACAAAGATGTCATTAAAGTTCTTTTAGGACCAACCATTGGGAGCATGTTCTGAGAACTGATAAGTTGAGAAATCCCACTCAAAACTTCTTCAGCAACACAAAACAGAAGAGGGGAGAAAATCCCCTGACAAACCCCTCTACAGTAAGAAAAGTAACCAAGAAGATTACCATTAATCCTAATTGATAGAAGAGCAGACTGAAGAATCTGCAGAATTCATGAGTTGAAAATTTGATGAAAACCAAACCACTGAAGCACCTATATAAGAAAATCTTATCTGAGTGTTAAAGATTTTCTTGATGTCAGTTTTATAAGATACATTACCACCTTGAACTTTCTTGCTGAGCATTTATAGCCTCTGAAGCAATGCTGATACAATATTTAATTTGTCTGCCCTTTGATAAAGCCATTCTGAGTAAAAGAGGCAATTCTGCTAGCAATCAAGGCCAACCTATCAGCCAGAATTTTGGATATGATTTTAAACCTCAAGTT